CACTAGAAATATCTTTTGAGTGGACTCTCATGGGAGTGTTGGACAAATGCCAGATATAGAACCGAGTGTCAGAGTACTCAATGAAGGTATCAACCAGGGATAGCTACAATTGGTTCTATCAAAGTAGCTATCTTATACCAGGGTACTCTAGTAACCAACTCTCTAACCCAGGGTTAAAATAGCTCTTCTTATTATTCTTTCTTATCTCCACTCAATCATATTAGAGTCTGTATAGCTTGTTGATGGTGTGTGAGTAGAGCTCATCAATAGATGAGTCAATAATGTGTTAGGGAGATTTGACAACCATCATGACTGGGTGAGGTAGAATGCATCTGCCTTTGTCATTAAAACTAGGAGCACTACTCAGTGGCAGACTGACTTAGCCCCAAAAGAAATGGTTGCCTCTGACATGAGGAACAGATGCCATGTGCAGCCGCTTCTAACATGGAGTACAAACGCTGCTCATCCTGTAGCCAGCCTATACCAGGGTAGTCCAGTAACCAACTCTCTCAGCCAGGGGACAGATGGAACATTGCTGATTAACACAAGTACATGAAAAATATACAGTAGACACAAGGTAATAAGACCAAATCTAAATAAATAGTGTGTGATGTTTCGGTAACAACACTGTTACTGTAACGTTACACACTATTTATATATTTGTATTTGGTTTTATTACCTTGTGTTGCCTTATCAACATACAGTAGAGTATCCCATGAGAGAAACACTCAATCTCTAATAGAGACTCTGTTTGGATTGAAAGACTCCTCATGACCTTTCTAGACATGACAGAATCAATGATGGAAGGCCACTTCCAGGAGACACCAGGTCTAACCATGATTTTTAGTCTATGATCTCTTATGGGACACTTGCTGTACTAGGTAACCACTTAGCTTTAGCCATCCTATAGAACAGGTTTGAGCAGACTTTATTTTCTTCTGCTAGGGAGAGCCAAGACACATCAGCCAGGGTATCTCAGCCATGGTTAGAGAAAAATTACTTTCAGTGGCATCCAGGTTTATAGGTGTCAGATATTGATCAACTTTAGTGATTCTCAGCCTTTGCCGGTCCCAAGCCCGGATGAAAAAGGAGGAGGGGGAGCAGTAACAAGCTCACTAAAAAACCTGGGCTCTGCTGGCCCGGCTGATAGTACCCTGTAAAGGCTCCTAATCCAGGGATACAGGATGAGCAGCGTTTGTACTCCATATTAGGAGCGGCTGCTCATGACGTCTGTTCCTCATGTCAGAGGCGGCCATTTCTTTTGGAGCTAAGTCAGCCTGCCACTGAATAGTGCTCCCAGTCTTAATGACAAAGGCAGACGCATTCTACTTCACCCAGTCATGATGGTTGTCAAACAGACACCATCAACAAGCTCTACAAGCTTGATACCCTAATATGATTGAGTGGAGATAAGAAAGAAGAAGAAGAGGAATTCTAACAACATTCTTGCTGGGGTTTGTTCTTCTGTGTACCAATAAAATGGGAGTCTATCTTATCAAGCTACATCACTGATAAAGCACCAAACCTTGACTCAGTGCTGTTTGATAGGTGGACCACTGTTTTATGGCCTCCTTTGAACACCATTTGGTCCCTAGAGGATCATGGTCATTTTTACCACGTACTTCTTAGGGGGGAGGGATAACTACATTTAATGTGGAACCTGTTGTAGCTCAACACAACATTTATTTAACTTGGTTTTTTTTTTTCTAAACCAAATAAATAATTTGTTTCATTGAAGCAAATTTCCATGAATATTTTTCTCAGATTTTCAAAAAAGATAAAAGTAAGAATTAGCTCTTTGTGTAACATATTGAAAGAATTCAACAAAATAATCCCTTCCATCAATATTAAGGTGACAGGCTTCCAGTGAAAGTATCAGGCTTCCAGTGAAAGTATCAGGCTTCCAGTGAAAGTATCAGGCTTCCAGTAAAAATATCAGGCTTCCAGTGAAAGTATCAGGCTTCCAGTGAAAATATCAGGCTTCCAGTGAAAGTATCAGGCTTCCAGTGAAAGTTTTAAACCTTTAATTCCCAAATCTCAACACAAGCTTTTGAGCTGATATTTTTCACCTTAATATTTAAAGAATATTTTTTTAATTTTTTGCCACAAATGATAAGGCACAATTTGGATTATAGATTAGAACTACAAGCCAATAAGACAAATACAAATAAATTAAATAGTGTGCGACGTTTTGGTAACAATGCTCGTACCGAAATGTCACACACTATTAAATACAAGGTAATAAGAACAAATCCAAATAAATAAATAGTGTGTGCTGTTTCGGTAACAGCATTGTTACCGAAACAGCACACACTATTTATTTATTTAGATTTGGTCTTATTATCTTGTAGCTATAATCTATAATCCAAATTGTGCCTTTATCATCACATACAATTATTTTACTTGGATTTGGTCTTTTATTACCTTGTAGTTTTTGCCACAAATTTTGATGCTGTTGCACATTCAGAATGTTTCAGATTTATAAAACCTGTAAGCAATATATGGCAAATTCAGAATGATTCACTTGTGGACATCATGAAATCAAAGCCTGCCCTGGACTGACAAAGCCCAGGTGGTGTTCTGAGTTTCCCAGAGTTGGTGTTGGGTCAAAAAATACCTAGATTGTAGAAACATTCAAAAGATGGTGTGCATAGGTATTTCATCTGTTTTGACAGGTGTCTTTTCTATTTCAGGATTTTATTTATTCTTAGTACAATAAAGCCTCTCTGTAAAGGACATCAAGTTGCAAAGCAAAAGTGTCCTTTATGGAAAGGTGTCCTCTTACCGGAGAGTTGTTACATTGTAAAAATGGTAATTTTGACAATGAAAACTGTCCTTTGTAGAGAGGTGTCCTCTAGCCGGAGTGTCCTCTCATGGAGGTTTTCCTGTATAAAATTTTTGTCATTTTAAACCCCCCAAACAAAGTGCCAGGTGTCAAGTGCCGCACCAACTACTGGTAATTTTGTTCATAACTTGAGTAATTGTTTTATAATTTCTAATTTGTCCTTGTGTTCAGGGTTATAGCAGAGATATTTTTCATTAATATAAAACTTTTTTTACAATCTCCTACAAATTCATATAAATAACGAGGCTCTATTTATCTAACAGTATATAATAATCAAATCCAACCAAAATTGATTGTCCAATTTGTATAATTCATTGATCAACTTTGCATATGGTTTTTATTTTCAAATTTATGAGAAAGTACAATTTGGGTTATAGATTAGAAATACAAGATAAAAAGATCTAATCCAAATAAATAGTGTGTGATGTTTCAGTAACAGTGTTGTTACCGAAATGTCACACACTATTTATTTATTTAGATTAAGTTTTATTACCTGGTAGTTTTTTAGAAATTTAGAAAATGTTTTTTTTTTTTAACAAAACCATTTCAACTTTTGGCCGTAATAGAATTGGAATTGTGTAAAAAGAATTTATATCGGAAGCCCATCTCTCTCACAGCTAGAGGAGATAAGCTAGTAGAATTTAAACAATAACAAAATATGGCTAAACTCTAGAATTTACATAAGCTGGGAGGGTTGGTGGAAGGATGGTCTAATCCGTTGGTTTTCGACCGCTAAGACCCGGGATTGAATCCTGCATTGGACACTTTTTCTAATTTAAAAAATTATTGCTCCAATGACCCCCTGATTCTTGCAAAAGTCCTACCTCACCAGAAAGTGCAAGTAACCAAACGGGACTCTGGCAGATTTGTAAGTGCAAAAGTCGAACTGCTTTTCACATGTGTAGACATGTGGGGCGCTTACAGTAAAATCAATCGTCAACTTCTTCCCACCAAGTTTTATCGTGGCCTGTACCACGTGTACTAGGGATAATAATAAAATTTACATGATCTGTTATTAACACAAGGTAATAGGACCAAATCCAAATAAATAAATAGTGTGTGACTTTTCAGTAACAACGCTGTTACCTAAACGTCACACACTATTTATTTGGATTTGGTCTTATTACCTTGTGTTTATAATCCAAATTGTTCCTTATCAGTTATTGTATTCACTTGAGTATGTTGTCACAGGAGGAGGAGAATGGAAACCTGCTGAAAACAGCTGAAGATGTCCCGGAGTCTGAAGAAGATGACGAAGTGGTTGTGGTCCCTCAAGCCTCCGACACTCTGGGCAATGAAGCCATTGACGAGGCCCTGGCCACCCTACCATCCAGGTCAGTCTGCCACAACATCTCCCCTAGTGCTCCGGCCACTTTAGGAATCTCCTGATTGTGAAACTGAACTTATACAGTAGAACCTCCATAAGTGGACACCCGCGCTAGAGGACATTTCTCTATAAAGAACAGTCTTCATCACCAAAATTACCATTTTTACTATTTAGCAATTCTCCTGTAAGAGGACACCTCTCCCTAAAGGTCACTTTACCTCTGCAATTACTTTACAGGGAAGTTCTACTGTAGCATCTGTTAGGATAAATATCAACTAAATTTAATTGTTCCAAAATAATTAAAACTCAATATTTAGTCAATTTTTATATTCCAACTTTCAGTAGCATGATCAGATGCCTTTTTCTTTATTTTTATCTCAGTCCAGTTCTGTACTATTTTCCCTTGTTACACTCTTTGTTTTTAAATAGAATTCTGAATATCTCAAAGTTATCAATCTACACTCCATCACTTGATGCTGTTACTAACCATGGTTAAAACTATTGAGACATTATTATTACAATGTTATAACCAAGTTGCTGTTATAAAGGAGGCTCTTATCATGAGAGAGACTCTATTGTATATATTTAACTTTTTTTTTTCTTATCCCTAGTACATGTGGTACAAGCCATGATAATCATGGTGGGTAGAAGTAGGCGACTGCTTTTACTGTAAATACACCACATGTCTACATATGTGAAAAACAGTTTGACTCTGCACTTACAAATGTGCCAGAGCCCCATTTGATTATTTGCACTTTGCTGGTGGGTTTGGACTTTTGCAAGAATCGAGGGCCATTGGAGCTTTTTTTTTTTTTAATCAGAAAAAAGTGCCCAATGCGGGAATCGAACCCGGGTCGTAATGGTTGAAAACCAACAGTTTAGACCATCCTTCCTATATATTTAACTTGACAACTGATATTGGTCATTTTGAAAGGAAAGTATTGTTCTATGAAAATAAAGGTCCCATCAAAACAAACACTAAAACTAAGCAACATCTATTGATCGTCTCCACAAACTTTCTCAACTTGAACATGAGGCTTTGCATACTCAACATAAGAGAAGAAATTGATTACTCTCTTCGTTTCAATCCTCAAATTTTGCGCCGAATTGATCATTGAAGTGGTCACGGACATTATTAAATTCAATGCCGAATTCCATTCAACAAGATGGCTCTTGTGCCTCATGATGATTAGTTTTGACTTTTCATTGACAGAGTCATAACACCAGCTTTGGAAAACTTTAAATTGTCCATCTGGAGACCATGATTTCAGATAATGGGCCTTGTCAGTCCAGGCTGAGGCTTTGATTCCATGAGAGGCCCACAAGGGTTTAAATAAACCTTCATCAGAATTTGGATGGTAAAGTGGCAATTCTATGGCCAAAATATATCATGACATCAAAGCCTGCTCTGGACTGATGAGGATGATTACACCAAAACCATGGTGTTTCAGTTGGAGCTTTGCCTGTCTTTGTCATCTACCTAAGTCCAATAGTTTGCAAAGACAGTCAATAGTTAGCACTTAGTTTTAGCATCCATTTTAATAGGAGAGGAGAACTTTATGGATGAAAATAGTAAAATATGGATATTGATAAAAAACATGAGAGCCAAACCTAAAAAAGTAATCTATGCATGATGTACACGTGATATATGGTAACAGCATAATTCCTAGGCCACTTTGTGGTGGTTTATTGATTACTTTTGACAAGTTTCAAACAACCTTGTGTTTCCCTCTCCACAATAGAAAACATCTGTATATTCAACCCTTTTTTTTCTACAGGCAACCCTACAAGGTAATAAGACCAAATCCAAATAAATAAATAGTGTGTGACGTTTTGGCAACAGCCTTGTTATCATCATCAGACAAAAAAGTTTTATCTGATAATGATAACAAAGCTGTTACCTAAACGTCAAACACTTTATTTATTTGGGTTTGGTCTTATTACCAGTGCTGTAGTCGTAAAATTAGCATAGGGTATACGCTTGAGAATATAAATTTTTGGTAAAAATAAACAAGGTTATTTTTAATTATATTTTTATTTGAAAAAAAGACGTAAAATATTACATACAACTTTTACATAAAAATGTCCCATAATGACTGCCGAGATGCATCTGTATTTTTTCTGGCACAAACTCTTGATCTAGTGTCGGTAGATGATCTATGATGTAAAAGCCATGATTGAACGTATTTTTTCGGCTGAAACATTTCGATTGGTGGTCCATTTGAATTTATGAACATTAAGTTCGAAACATTTGATATTAGCAAAGAAGTCTGCAAGTTTGTTATTATATCATTCATCAGGCTGAAACCTCGCTCACATTCAGCTGTTGAACAGGGCAATGTTGAAATTGCCCTGAAAAATGGTTGAAGTGTTTCGGGAACATTGTTTTTATCATCAACAAAATCTCTCAAGCCGTTAATGCATTTCATTTCATCTAAGTTAAACCTTCGACAAATACGTCTCATTTCGACCTCTCCATATCGAACATTTTCTGCGTCAAAATTGTTTGGTTCTAGAGCTGAAATATCCTTAATTAATTGCTCATTATCTTCATTTGATTCTGTACACAACCTTAATTTTAACTTTTCTATTATACTTAGAAGAAATTTTTTTCTATCAATCGGAATAATTTTGGCATTGGGAACTAATGTTACGCTCCTAAAAATTAAGTTTTCTGCCGCTTCAAGAGCTAGCAAGCTTTTTTCTCCTGGTGATGTTTTGAAGCTTTCTATGACTCTAATTGTTCTCTTTATTATATGTTCCGCCTTTTGTAAAGTAGTTGTTCTAGACTGCAGCTCTAAAGACAACATTGACATTTCCTGAAGCGTGTGTCGTACATTAAACCTAAATCTAATATAAATTCTGGACTCTCCAATCTTCTTAATAACCCTTGATATGTGGAATCGAGATATGTTGATGATTTGAAATGATGGTGCAATGACTCGTATGACTCCCAGACGGTTTTTATTGTTCTAAAACTACTTGAAATCGATCGTACTCCTAAAATTCGACCCACTTTAGCAAATCTTGTTCCTAATTCATGGCAAGCTTCCTCCAGAGCACGACAATTTTTGGGAGATTGGCTATATAATGAATACAGTTTGTCCATAAAAGCTTTAAAATGGTTGATTCCGCGGACTTCTTTGATAGTATCGCCAACAGAAAGCTCTAATCTATGGTTGAGGCAGTGCCATGCAAAAAGTTTTGGAAACTTTTGCTTAAGTCGAGTTACGACTCCCGAATGTCTTCCTACCATGACACTTGCCCCATCAGTCGCAATTGCTATCCAATTTTCTTTTAAATATTCTTCGTTCAACCCATGTTTATACAAAGTATTCAAAAGCTCTTTTTCAATATTTTCTGAGTCTTGGCATTGTAATTCACACAAATCAAAGAAAATATAATCAATACTTTCTCCTCCTAAATATGCTTTCAAGAAAATGACCAAAGTTGATTTATTACTTAAGGTTGTTGATTCATCAATTAGTATAGTAATTTTTGAATTTGTTGACAAAATCTTCGCAACAAGCATTTTCCGCATTTCGCAGGCTATATGGTTTATTATTTGTGTAGCAGAATATCTGGAGTAAAGAGTCGATCCTAATTTAATGCCATTTAATGTTTGTAACGTGATATGATTTTCATAATTAGAATATGGTCTATTTGTTTTAGCGATATTATAAGCAGTTCTAAAAAGCTTAATATTTTCATTTTCTACTTCAATGTTCATATTGTTTGCATATTCTTCTAATTTATTTTTTTTTCTGTCTTTCTTAATATTCTCAGCTATTTTATGAGCTTCAGACTCACAATGCTTTTTAATTTTCATTCGAATGTTTGATAATTTGCTTGCCCGATCTTTTCCTGCTGCTTCTATTAGGTAGTTGCTCCATTCTGGTGAAATATGAATTCTTTCACTTTTTGCAGCCCCTAAAGTTTTAACACTTGCGCAAATGTTACATCCGAGTCTACCTCTGGAAATTGAAAGCCATGGATACTTTTCCTTAAATTGAATATATTGGGAATCATTCCAAACTTCAAATTTGGAATCCTGGTCATTCATTTTCTCTGGTGAACTATTGATCAATATATCAGCTCTTTTTGAGATAGTACTTGCATTTGATGTACCAACAGTGTTTTTATTTCTTTTAACAGCTTCTTCTAGTTCATTCTTTTCTGCATCTTCTTCTACCTCCAAACTTCTTTTAGTACATAAATTTCCTGTCTTCAACCAGCGGTCCATAATTAAACAGAAGAGTTATTTTCGAAAGCTAGTATAAGTACAGAAAATTTAAATTTCACTTATTTTAACATTAACAAAATTTAGATACTTACTTAATCGATTTGTTTTGAATAAAATCTTTATTTTATTTATTTTTTTAAAAAACAAACACCAACTTTTCATCAACAATTAAAAACAATTTAAATAAGCTTTTAAGCCAGTATCAATAAACTTACTTAAAGAAGTTTTCAAAATTATATTTTTTTGAAAATCAATGTTATTTTGTCAACAGCTTTTGCTAACTTCAAATAAACTAAAGAATATGCAAAATTAACGTCCACAATAACGTAGTTTAGCATGGTTACCATAGCAACTTTAGTTAAAGAAGAGTATTTGATAAAATTCAAATATATTTTCAATTGTATAGAATTAGAAAAGAAAATCGTTTTAAATCGAAAACCAAATTGTTTATGTATTAGTTTACATCACTGCTGGATAAATACAGCATTGGTAATAAGAGAACATCTATCTTGAAGAAGTCGTTTTTACTTTTTTTTGTAAATGATTTTAACATCAGAAAATATAACTTTATTTTTATTTAAACTTTAATTTTTTAACATATTTTCTATTAAGCACACAAACATAATATAACTTTTAAATATTAGGAAAGTTTAAAGTTTTCATTTCATTGTGGTTTTAAACAAAATTACCATTTTCAAAAATTAAAGGTTCGGTTATATTCGTTTTCCGTTTTTCGTTAAAGGACGCTTGTTTGATTATTAATTTGAATATAGTTGATATATTTTTCCCAAGAAATTATTACTAAATGAATGAAATATTTTGTGTGAATTGTGTTAATTTGAAAATTTTTTGCAATTTTTCAGTACAATTTTTATCATCATTTTTTTTACTATTACAAAGAAAGAAAATAATAAATTTTTGATAAAAAAATTGAACAAAATCATAGGGTATACGCTATTTTTAAGTAAAACCACTAGGTATACGCTATCTAAATTTTAAAAGCATAGGGTATACGGCGTATACCCCCGTATACCCTCCACTACAGCACTGCTTATTACCTTTTAATTTTAATCTATGATCCAAATTGTGCCTTATACAGGTAACTCAGATTAATGGAGAGATTATTCCTTGGGAAAACAAAAGCCCCAATTTATTCATTAGTATCTATTAGCCACTGTTTACTTAAAATACTCATAATCTTGCAAATGATCCCTTTCTCTGCCAATCATACCTGACTCGGGAGCCAGCATAAAATTTAGTGACTTTATTCAGCGATCTGTTGGAAATTTGGAAGAAAGAGTGTTTAATCTTTGATTGTTATTATTATTATTTTTTAATTATCCCTAGTACACATGGTACAGGCCATGATAATCATGGTGGGTAGAAGTTGGCGACTTCTTTTACTGTAAGTGCACTACATGTCTACACATGTGAAAAGCAGTTCCACTTTTGCACTTACAAATATACCAGAGCCCTGTTTTGTCACTTGCACTCGCTGGTGGGGTTGGACTTTTGCAAAAATCCAAATTCACAAGAGTTCACTGCATAACATTTCTGTTTGTCTTAATATTATTTTGTAGATTTTTGTAAATTCTCCTTTGGTTTCTATGGCACAATTTAGCTTGTAGCTGGAACTAAAAAAAGAGCATGTTCAAATTCAAGCATTAAGTGTCTATAACCT